TTACTGCTCATCCTCTCCTCTTACAAAAGAAAAAGAACATTTGCCCACTTACATCAGCACTTCCCGCAAACGGCCTCCTAAGTTTTCAAATCAGCTAAGCCTCTTTTAAAAGGCGAAGGCAGAATGATGTCAGCTGGTATTGTCTTCACTGAACTCCATGGCGACGCCTCCAGAACTTTCTATTGGTTTGTTCACGCACTAAGAACACCAAGTGTTGACGCGTTATCTGCTCGGGCTTCGTATACAGTAAACGTCTGTTAAGGATTGAGCTGCAGAGAAAAGGCCAAGATCTGCTTCTCTCTTGCCTTTATTCAAAGCTTTATCTTCTGCCTGTCTCCAAGGCTTAACTTAGACGAGTAGTAACCTTGGCTCAGAAAGCATTATCCCTTGATTTCCCACAGAGCCAACAGAGATTTAACCTTCTGTTCAGTTATGAAGTTAACAAACCATCGCCATACCCAACTGATGTTGCCGATGTTTTTGTTTCATATGAGGTATTGAAAACACTTTGAAATGTCATTGATGCTCACCAGTACTTTTAAGTGACTATAGCTAATTACACTTGTTGCTATAGCTTGTTATTTATCGCATTAATAAAATTGTATATTCTAAACAACTTCATATATTATATTTACTTATTTTTAAAGACTTATTTATGCATACATGAACTGGGGTATCGGCCAGAGGTGGGGGGTGCGGGGGCTCTGAGAGGATTCACCAGAGACAGAATGGGGGGCAGAATAGGCGAATTGACTGAAATACACTGCTGAGGGGAGCAGTGGGCAAGACAGAAGAGGTCTGCTGCGCCATGCGGGTCACCTCCCTTGCAGGGGATCGAACTCGTGCCGCCAACAGCTTCATAGTGCTGTGCTTTAACCCATTGGGCCACCAGAGAGGGCCCTGATATATTTTATATTTTGATAACTGCGTGTCAGTGGGCTTGTTTTTCTTTGGAATCGTGTTTTATTTATTATGCCTCTAAAGATATCTGGGAAGAGAATGCACAACATGCAAAACTCCAGACTCCCTGGTTACATTATGCCTTTTGGTGCCTTGAGGTTTGGCAGGTGTCCAGTCGGGCTGGGGGCTAGAGCAGGTTGGGACAAAGTGGGGTGAATTAAATCCTGTAGGTTCCACCGGAGCCAGTGATGGTGCAAAGCGAGATGCTGCCCACTAGTGGCCAGAAGGTTGATCTTCCCCGTCTACCGCCAGGCTTTGGGTTATCAGTTTCTTGGTCCTTGGGTTCTACTCTGCCTGATGTTCAGCCTCATCGCTTGAAACACGCTCCCGCTTTCTCTGTGCTCCAGCCAACTTTGCTGCCTCTCAGTGTCTGGAAGCTTCCTTCTGCACGCGGGTACTTATATGTGCTGCTGTCTGCGGCGCTGCTCCACCCTTCACCTCACCCTCGGTATCCTGGAGTACGTCCCTCCGCCCTTCCAGTCTAGACCAGGCTCCTTTGCAGTAATCCCCCAGTGGACACGCGCCCCTTTCCTGAAAGCCCCTTCTCAGTTTGTAGCTACCTCATCCTTGGGGAGATGCTTTGTTCGATGCTTGTCACTGCACTGAGGTCAGGGTTGTTTGCTCTTATTCTCTGCAATACCCTCCCCCCGCCTCAAACCCTTGTAACATTAACTGATGAAGAATGAGTTTTAAGTGGAAAATTCACGGAGGGTCTGGGAATGCTCAGAGAACAGATTTAGGTCCACAAAAAGAGAGCCAGAAGGTCTCTCCCCACAGACAGCACCCCACTCCTCCGTACCTGGCGGTCCTGCTTACACCAGTACCAGGAGCTCAGGATGGCACCATGGGTCCAACATGGCAAGGCTGAAGCTCTGCGAGACATTTGGTGTGGGTTCGGATCCTGCCTTGTAGCCTCCCTCCCCATGAACCTCTGTCAGACGGTGAGCTGAGCACTGGCTGGGGTTCAGAGGCCTGGGGTGTTCCTGGGGTGCCATTAACAAAGACCCAGCATGCCATAGGTACAGATCCAATGTAGCCCCGAGGAAAAAGGCCAGCCCAGAGGAGAGGGCCGTCTCTGCCCTCTTGAGAAATCCGGGATTTAGATCCCAGGGAAGCCTTGCGGCAGGCTGGGTCTGGCTCCAGCTTGTTCTCCCTGCTTTTCTTTGGGTGGGATAGTCCTCCTCATAAGCTCCTCCCATGGCTGCTGGAACTGGTCTGTGTGTCCATGTCTCTACTTCTTCCCAAGGTCTCTCTGTCTTGCAGCACTGAGGTGGCTGTGCTGGACTTAAGCTTTGAGGACAGGCCTGTGGCGGCACATGCCTTCTGGGCTTTTTACACTCATTTTCTGCCCAAAGCTCCAGAGGCCCACAAAGTTAGTTTGCTCTGGATTCAGAGGGGTTCTGACATTTGCATCATGCTTGGCACGGAAGTTCACAGAATCTATTGGAGCTCAATAAATAGCCATTGTTGTGATTTCAGGGAAAATGCACTCAGGAAGGAAGCAAGAGTGCATTAACCCACCCAAGGCTGGTTTTTCTCCTTCACGCAATTGGCTTTGCAAGTGCTTGGCTCAGTCCTGGCCACTAGAGGGCAGCAGCAGTTAAGACATAACCGAACCAACCAGACCCAGAATTGACAAGGTAGGGTGTCTGGTGGAGAAAAATGTTAGAATGATTGAAGAAAAAGCCTATTTGTTTGGGTGAACAAATAGAAAGGAGTCTATAGTAGTGATATTGAAGTTAGACTTCAAAGAGAACTTCCAGAGTGAGTTTGCTAACTAAATCTTTTATAGGTGACTATATATTTTTTTTAAGATTTATTTATTTATGCTTACAGAACTGGGGTACAAGCCAGATGTGTGGTGGGTGAGAGGATTCACCAGAGACAGAGTGGGGAGCAGGCAGATTGACCAAAACACACTGCTGAGGGGAGCAGCAGGCAGATCAGGAGAGGTCTGCTGCACCATGTGGGTCAGCTCCCTGGCCGGGGATGTAACTTGTGCTGGGGTGGCTTCGGAGAGCTTCATAATGTGATGCTTTAACCCATGGCACCACCAGGGAGAGCCCGGTGACTATATCTTTTTAACCACCTCTCGGCCTCCCCCTTTCACCGTCCCCCCCCCCCAAGCTTCTGCTCCCTAAGTAGATACAGGATGAGGTGGGGTTTTCCCAGTCTGAGTTCTGTGCACCCTCTCCCAGCCTCTTAAAGTAGCCCTTGTATCTGCCTTAAATGACTCCATCTACAGATGCGATCGTAAAATAACTTTATTGGTCAGGTTAGCCCACCGCGTGCATTTTCAGTACTAGGGGTCCTTTATAGAGGCACAGCGGTGTTCACATGCAGACGCTTCCCAGGAGCCCTGTCGAGGGAGGGAGGGGGGCAGCCTTGCCCCACAGCAGAACTCCTTTGTTGAAATGAGCTGGTTTGGCTTTTGTGGATTTCAGGATCTGGAGCCAAGAACATAATCCAAGGTTCCCCCCTTTGCTTCTCAGGGGAGCAGCTTCAAAGCACAAGGACACAGTGACATGGGGCAGGGCCAGCTGAGGCCGGGCAGCCCTCCTCAACCAGCCTCTGCCCCTGCTGCAATCCCACTGGTGCCTAGGAGAATGCAGGGCTTAGGCCGCAGGCAGGTTACCTTTCAGAAGACATCACTGCTCTCAGCCAAGCTATAAAGCACCAGGCAGGCGTCTTCAGTAATGTGGGGTGCAAGCAGAAGATTTCAGCTCTGCACAGGCTGCAGCTGCCCAAGTTGGGCTTCATGGACCCAGGGAGTGTGCCCAGCCAAAGCTGGTACTTTTAACTAGCAGGGCTGGCTGGAGTCTGAATCCCCCATCAAGATTTAGACCTTTTGTTGCATGCAAGGGGAGGAAAAATGACCCTTCTCACACTCTGAGACATGTGACCTCCATCTTGAGTATAAAGACCCAGAGGGGAGCTACCGAGAAAGCAGAGGTGCTGGGTGAGGACAACTGTACAGACAGGGCTGCTGTCTCCTTCTGGCCTCTGGAGGGTTTTGTCCCTGTGATGGGTGCTGATGCTAAACAAAGCCTGGTCTTTCTGTTGAGTGTGGCCAGATATGGGCAGTAACAACAGCTACCTGTGTGACCAGGTATGGGCGATCACACAGTGACCGGAACTGGGCCTTGCATCCAGGTGTACAGCGCCATGTCAGCTTTCTAGAATCTGAACCTAAAGCCTATAGAAGAGACCCTTTCCCCTACATCACCCGCAGTAGCTGCGGACCCCACCCTAGGGAGCTCCGTCTCAGCTGCTGCCTGGGAGCAATAAACTACTTATTCAGCCTTCCTGCCTCCCGTCTTTCTTCCTTGAGGCCGGTCACAGAAATCCGGACAAAACTTTCCTCTTTTGAAGTCTGAGCCACCTTCGAGAACGGCCCAGCTGCGACATTATAACCTTGCACATTTATCTAAGCTGAAGGCTGGCTCTCTGCTTCCGCTTTAGCCCATGAAGATGGTCATCAAACTAGAGACCTCCAGCTGGTGACTTCCGGAGTGGGCCAGGGAGGGCGTGCCCCAGGCCCAGGGCGGGGCTCTCGACTCAGGGCTGGGCTCTGCATTGGTCGGCGGGGTGGGGGAGGGGGAGTGTGTGTGTCTGGCCTCAGCCTAAGGCTCAGCAGAGGTGACTGTAGACTGAGTCTGAGTGGAAGCGGTGGCCTCGGGAAGCAGCGGGGCAAGAGGTATACTCTGAGGAGCAATGAGTGGCAGCCCACAGAAACTGTGGGGCCGGCGCAGCACAGGGGAGCTTCGAGCCCCCTTCCTGCACCCCGAGAGTAGGGCGCTAATGTGAAGTAGGCGCAGGTACTAATGGCCAAGCAACTTTTAACCTTCCACAACTGAGCACTGGGAAGAACTCAAGGGCAGTGAGGTTGCTGGGGGTGGGTTTTCGGGGTGAACTCCCTCTACCGCCACTTCTGGCCTGGAAAAGAGCCTTCCTAGTGTCCCACAGCAGGAGGCTACCTGTCCCCTGCCACCTCACCACGCCTGCAGGGAAGAAGACTAAAGAGGGAAGCCATGGATTCTGTCAAGGGTCTGTCCCAGACTTTCCAGCAAAAGCCAAACCAAACCATCAAGCCAAAGGCAGTGGGGCCCAGGGGCCTCCCCTTGCCCAGGGCAGGGCCCTCAGATCTCGATGAGGCTGGCCAGGCGCAGGCAGAGCGGAGCGTCCACCGGCATGGCATTGCGCGTGATCTCATTCCCGTCCAGACGCAGCACCTGCAGCTTGGAGAAGTTCATGACGTCCACCACGCTGCAGAAGCTGCTGATGGAGAACTCTGTGGAGACAAAACGGGAGGTGGATGGGAAACGCCCCGATCAGGGGCTCCGATCCGGGACCCCGATCCTCGGGAGGCCAGACAGCCCCGGGAAGCGTCTTTCTGAATACTTGAGAAGCAAGCGCGGGGCTAGGGCGGGCTCATTTTGCAGAGTCGGCGTCTTACCAACTTTTACCGCTAGGGGGCAGAACTAGCCACAGAGTGGGACCCCCTGCGCCACCTCCTACCCATTCGCCATCTGCCCAGTACCCGCAGCTCTGGAATGTCCTTGAGCGTCCTTGCAGCCAAGACCCGATCTTTTCCCATCTCTAGCAGCAAGGGAAAGCAGAAGGTGGTCAAAGATACGCCCTAGAGCTTTGGAGTGCTCGGTAGCTTTTGGAGAGGCAGGACTTTGCGAAACTGCTTTGAGAAGGGAGGCTGGGGAAATGGAAAGACTTAATCTGGAATATCTCCTGCCTCTCTGTAGGTAGAAAATGGGGCAGGAAATTGAGGAGAGAAGCCGGGGAGCTGGGGCGGAGAGACAAGTGTCCGGGAGCGGGATCTTTGGGTGGGGTGCGTGGCTGCTTTTTCAGTATTGCCCCTGGATGAGCACGAGGTTAACAGACATGAGAATTCAGATGAGGACCCCGCCAGGTGGCGCAAGGGGTTAAAGCGCAGCACTATGAAGCTCTCCGCAGCCACTGCAGTTCAATCAGGGGCCAGGGAGCTGACCCACGTGGCAGGGCAGACCTCTCCTGGCTCCCTGCTGCTCCCCTCAGCAGTGTGTTTCAGTCCATCTGCCTGTTCTGCCCCCCATTCTTTCTCTGGTGAATCCTCTCACTGCCCCTACACTTCTGACCTGTACTCCAGTTGTGTATGCGTACATGGATACATCTTTAAAAAAATTAAAAAGAAAAAAAGAAACTCAGATGAACCAGCACTGCTGAGGAAGTCCAAAGTCTAATAAATAACCTGATCCCTGTCCATGATTATGATCCACTCCCTTTGTTAAAAAAATATCAAGAGAGGCCCCCTTTTGGGAAGTGTTCCCCCCAAACCATGTCACCCCAGTAGGTATAAAAGTTCTCTTTGGGTCTAACATACACCCTTCTACTGCTGTTCACCCTAAGCCCCTCTGGCATCTTCTTGGAAAATCAGCCACCTCTGTCTCCCACCTTCGGGGTCTGGAACTGGAGAGGCAAAAACCAGAAGCTCAACTAGTTCTCCCACAGGGACAGTGCAAGTCACCAGCTGCTGAAGACCCTGGGACACCGGTGGGCAGCAGGGAGGCTTCTGCAGGCTGCTCTTCTCACAGGGACTGTAGTGGAAGTCACGCTGGGCCTGGAGGGCAGGGTCCAGCAGGGGTGAGTCTGCAGGGCCGTGGGGCACGACTGACTGGGCAGATATTTACTGGCTGCCTGAGGTGGCCAGGGGCTGCGTGTCACCTGGAGTGAATGTCTAGAGGGGACATTTTCGAGGGGTAATCCTGGAGGGCTTCATGGAGGGAGCGGTCGCGGGTGTGAAAGGAGGTTACGAGAAGTCGTTGTGGAGAGCTCTAATAGGCTGATGAGGAAAGTGTTTTCAAACAAGGATGGTGGATTGCTTCCAGTCGCTGTTAAGAACTGACTGAGATGGGCTGGGGTGAGGCTGGGGCGGAAGAACTCGTGTTGTCGACCTGACTGACGCAGGAAACCCAGCCGAGAGAACACGGCTTGGGAAGAACAGCGATGGCAGATGTCCTTCTTTGGTGAGTGCGCAGGGGGCAGGAGATACGGAAGGTGCCCTTTCTGGCCCCAGGGGACAGATCAAGTGGCCTCTGGTGGAGCGGGCAGTGGGGGTGGAGCGGGCAGTGGGGGTGGAGCCTCAGCCAGAGGCCGGGTCTGAGGTGTGCGCAGAGGCGTGGAGTGGGCCGGGCGGGGGCAGAGGTGCAGTGTCCGCTTGCACCTCACTCAGGGCTCTACTGCAGGCTCCGTGGTAGGGGCTGGAGCCCCAGGCTGTCTGCTAGCTGCAGGCAACTCGGCATATAAAAATAAGCGGCGGGGGCATTTGCGGGGCTGCTAAACACACAGCCCATGTAGACTGTCCACAAACAGGTACCCTGACCCCCGAGCTCCGGAATGGGACAGGGCTTCTGCCTGGACACCCAGGGGGCATTTTCCAGCCCAGATTAAACATTGACATATATGTTTCCAAATTCCTCCTCAAGTACCCACCCTGTTCCGCTGGATCCCCAAGGTTCTGAATAACATTCGAGCAGTGTTCCCCAGCCGCTGCCAGACTGGAAAAACTGAGGGAGATGCTAATAGGAGAAGGGGGAGGGCTGGCTTCACTCCCTGCACCCCCTTTGGCTCCTGTCGGGTCAGGTCCTCCCTCAGAGGTGCCACCCACACCTGCAGTCCCCACCTGGCTATGCGGGGAGACCCCCTCACATTTGCCTGAGAAGAGGGGCTAAGTTTGGGACACTCTTTCCTGCTGGTTCTCATACCCTCAGCCAGACATGCCTGGCTCTGGGTCCTTCGTGGCTGAAGCGGGGGTGGGGTGGAGTGTGTGTGTGGGGGTGTTGCGTGACCTCTCAGTAATTTGGGGAGATTGCTTGTCTTTCTGTGTAGCTCAGTCTCACTGTCCTTGGCAATGCAAAAGCAAACAAACAAAAAAAAGCAAGAAAAAACGCCCAAACAACTGAACCAACTACGCCTGCCAACTTGGCAGTGGCATTGAGGAGGCAAGGCAGAGGGGTTCAAGTGACACCAGCCCCGGACCAAACCCTTTACATCCATCTGTCCATTCACGGAGACAAATAAGAGTGTGTAATTTCTCCTAAGGAGACTGGGCGGGGGCCTAGGTGATAAGCAGATAAAGACGATGTGGCCTAATTTGCCAAAGAGAGGCTGACGGGTCACACCAAACATTTTTAAGTTTGATTTGAGGGAGAACCTTCTTCCAAGACCTCAGGACACTGGTAATTTTATCTCTGCGGCTGGCCTGGCTTTTGAAGGGCTGGCCGGTGCCCTATTGGAGAAGCAGAGGGGACTTTGCAGGAAGGCAGAGTGCCCACAGGGGACCACCAGGAGGCCCTTCCCACCGCTTCTTGCTGGCAGAGTCAGGCCCTGCCAATGGCTCTCCGGAGCAGCTGCTGTTTGCGTCATACCTCCAGGACCGAACTCAGCTGAGCACTGCACACACGTGGCATTTCTGATGGGACTGTCCCCCTGGATTCAGAGGGGTGCAGGGAACGGATGGTGACACCTGAGTGGGACATGACCAGTTCAGGGACATGGCAAGTGCTTCACAGCACCTTAGAGAACTGCCCATCTTGGGGCTTCGAACCCCCAGAGAGGAAGAGAGACTGGAAATACCAAGCAGCCTGGGCTGCATGGGGTCCTGTTTCACGCTGCAAAACAGGGGCCAGACACCCTGTGCCTCCCCCTCACCGGCACCTTGGGGCCGGCCTCTGCCGTTCAGGGGCTGTCCAGCCTGTTAACATATCCGGGTGACCGACCCTTCTGTCCTCAGGGCTCAGGGAGAGAAAGGAGCCGAGGACGAAGGCTCAGGCTATACTGGGCTTTGCTGGTGCCACAGACACAGCCGCAGCCACTTCCCTTCTGAGCGCAAGGCCTGTGGCCACTGATGAGTCCTCCCTCCCAGAGTCCAGGGAGAGGAGGACTCTGCTGACAGAGGACGGGAGGTGAGACGCTGGCTCAGTCCCTTCCAGCTGCGGTTAAGACGTCAGAGGCCCTGGGGTCAGGTAAGCATGTTCCTCGCACAGGGATCAGAAAGCAACTGGTGGTGCATCGGAGGTGAATGTTTCAGCTGTAGCGGCCAGAAACAGCCTGGTGGATCCTTTAGACATTTGCTGGGAAGGACCTGGGGAACAAGAGGCCCCCTGTCCTTCCCCTCCACCCTGGGTTGCTGGGGGACAGTGGTGGGGCATGGGGGGTCAGGCTCCTGTTACCCTAGGACTTTGCACTGTCACCAGGAGCTCCTTGCACTCCAGGCGGAGCTGACCAGAGCAGGGACGGTCCACGGAGCTGACCAGAACAGGGACGGCCCACGCCCGGGAGAAGCTGCCTGTCCTCAACCCCCAGCTGCTTTGTTAAAAAAAAAAAAAAAAAAAGTAAACATCAAACACAAGACTGGACCGGAGGCAGGGGCGGAAGGTGTGGAAACAGGGCGTGTGTCCTCTGCGGGCGAGAAGGAGGTGTAGACTCCTGGCTTCCGGCAGCCCCTTCTCCAGGACAGACCCCAGCAGTTTAGCAACCGCCCCTCGATGACGGGCTGCCTTCATCTCACCCGAAGGTCCCGCCCAGCCCCCCAGGCCCCTCACGGCTCCTCAACAGGACCCATGCCCCTGTCCTCACCTGAGCTGGCTGGCCCTGCAGGCGGCCACTTAAGCAGCTGGTGCCTGTTTGGGGGCACGCCCCTAACCCCCCTCCCCCCCGGGATGGCCTTGGCCTGCGTCCCCCGCTAACTTCTCATGACTTCGACTGAAGCTGACCTCTTGGGGAAGCCTCCCCACCCCAGCCTACGCTTCTCCAGCACTGCGCTGTCTAAGATACCCCCTTTTCTGCCTCGGGGGCAGGGGACCGCTTGGCCTTGGGGCTGCTGGGCGTGCTGCTCCTGCCCCCACGCTTCCACGGCTGTCGAATGGCACTCGGAACGGGGTGTCTCCACGCAGCCGCCACCCCCACGCCCCTGCCAAGGCCTCACCGTTGATCCTGTTGCCTTGCAGGTAGAGGTTCTCCAGGTTGGTGCTGACGGGCGGGATCTTCTGTAGCTGGTTGTAGGACAGGTCGAGCTCCAGGAGGCTGCTGGAGTTGAAGGTGTTGGAGGCCAGGCCGTTGTTGGTGAGGCTGTTGTGGGACAGCCGCACGTACAGCAGCTTGGGGGAGCCCCGGAAGTAGCTGTCGGGGACCGAGTAGACGTTGTTGTGCTCCAGGTACAGCTGCTCCAGGGCCGAGGGCAGGCCGTCCGGCACCTTCCGCAGGTGGTTGTAACTCAGGTCCAGCAGGATCAGGGAGCCGAGGCCCCTCATGGCGCTGCCCACCTCCTGGATCTCGTTGTGCTGCAGGTACAAGGCCGTGAGGTTCTCCAGCCCCTCCAGAGCGTTGTTGGGGACCCTGGAGATCTGGTTGTAGTCGAGGTGCAGTTCCTTCAGGGAGCGCGGCAGCGGGCCGGGCATGCGCGTCAGGTTGTTGTGGTCCAGGTAGAGCCTCTCCAGGTGCCTCAGCTTGGAGAAGACCTTCCTGCCCACCTTGTCACTGGTGATCTGGTTGCCGTGGAGCGCGACCCACAGCAGCCCGGTGGCGTTGTCGAAGACGCCCTCCTGGATGGAGGCGATCTGGTTGTTCTGGAAGTACGCGTACTTCATGCGGGAGGGGACGAAGGGCAGGTACTTGAGGTTGCGGTTGTCACAGTACATGGCCGTGGGGAAGTTGGGCGGGCAGTCGCACTCCTGGGGGCAGTCTCGGGGCTCGGGCGGTGGCGGAGAGCCGTAGGCATAGACGGGGCCTTCCTCCACCCCGTAGGGGTAGGGCTCATAGGGCTCATAGGGCTCGTAGGGGTCGTAGTAGGTGGACTGCTGGCTGCGGAGGTAGTGGAACCACCAGTGGGGATCCTCGTCGTACTGGGCGCGGGAGAGGGAGCAGAGTCCCACCAGCAGCAGGAGGGAGGCACACTGCATTTTGTCTCCCTGCGAGCAGGAGAAGAGAACACAGCAAGCAGAGTGAGGTTGCGGAGAGGCAGCGGGCAGAGGGGCCCGGGCCCCCCCAAACGCGACAAGGCCAGGGGTTCTCACACCCTGTGCCCCCCCCCCCATGGGCTTCACACTCGGCTCAGTTGGACCTTGGCCCTCTGGGGTGCTGGGTGCTTTCCCCGCCCCAGCGAGGAGTCCCAGAGCAAGGCCTCTGCGATTAGAAGGAACTGGAATGCGGGTGCTGCATTTTGGGGGTGCAGGCCCTGGGCCCTCTGCAAAGGGTTCTGCTGGGGTAGCTGCAGGGGTCGGTGGCGGGTGCTCTTCAGGCCGTTTGGACTCCTCAGGGAAATCATTATTCCAAGAGTCCAAGTATGAAATCATCTTTTCCAAGACTCCAAGGAAAAAGCCTTCTGGTTTTTCCCATCTCTGGGTCACCTCCAGAATGGCTGGAGACCTCAAAGGGGAAGAGCTGGCTACTTCTGGAAAGGCTTTTGGTCTCTTGGGCAGACCAGGGGCTTCTGGTTTTGAGCCTTTCGGGGAGGGGGGGCGGGGGGGGTGCGGCCCTCGGCAGCCAGCTTGGGCCGCCTCCAGAATGCCAGCGTCTGCGCTGTGTGCTGGGCGAGAACATTCTCTGGTTAGCAGTTTGTGGTCACACATGCAATCTGGCTAACCTCCATGAACAGTAACATGTACCCTCCAGGCTGGGGATAGTGGTACCGGTCTAGCATTTGTCTTCTAGAGCCTGAGTCATCCCGCTCGGCTGTCTCTGTGGTGTCTAGTAAAATGCAAGCCCTTTCGTGGGCCCTGACACAGACACTGCAAGAGCTTCACGGGGCCGAGGGCATGAATGAGGGGCACCAAAGCTGGCCCAGGGATTCAGGACCAGGGAGTGTGGCTTTTGAGTGGGGTTTGGGTGTCCTTCTCTCCCATGTCGAGCTCCCTCAGTGGCGCTGCGATAACCAGACTCCACATCCAGCCAGACCCCGTGTGTTGCTGAGCAGGCTGGTGCTCAGAGTTTGCACACCAGTGAGATGAGAACATCAGACTTGCAAAGAAAAGTGGGTTGGCGTCATTGAGGGTGGGGGCCAGGGTGGCATGCAGGCCCGGGCGCCCTCTGCTGAGCAGCTGTAGTGCATGCACTGGGGAGCACGGTGAGCCCTCTGGGAGCACTGCCCCTGCGTGGAGCAACCTGAAAACCGCCCTGGGTCCTGCACATGTCACGAGCATCCCACACGGTGCGGTGGGCCTGGCTGGGGCTGGCGCGTGGCTGGACGGGAGGCGGAAGGACGCCAACAGCCCACGTCAAAGCCAGCGAGCGGACGGGACTCTGGGCCACCCAGTCTCGTCACCTCTGGCCGTTATCCCTCCACACCCAGACCCCGCTGCCCCCCGTGTAGGTCCCCAGGCCCACTTCACCCCATCGGCCTGCAGACAAGAGGCGCCTGGCTCATCCTCAGTAGCTCAGGCTTAGACAAAGAGCACACAGTGTTTCTGAGAGGCCAACCCAGCTGCCCACGGCCTGGGCACGCTGGCTGGCCTGGCTCTGGCCAGGAGAGAAGACGGATGGAGCGGCCCACTGCCAACAGCACATTTTTCCACGCGTAGCCCTGGGCTCTGCAGGACCACGGTGGCTGTCTGGAGCTGGCACAGTGAACCTCTGTCTCCGTTTCTCCTCTGACAGACTGGGCATCTTGGCAGACAAGAGCCACCTTCCTCTTGGAGACTCAGCTTTCCAGTCCACGTTGGCCTCTCCTCAGAAGCCATGGCAGCTGAAGGGGTGTGATGGGGTGCACACGCCTCTCCCAGCCCCACCCCAGCTGTTAGCCATGCTGCTGCAGGGCTGTTCACTCCAGGTTCCCCCCCATATCAGGGCCCACCCTCCTCCCGCGGCTCAGCGCATTGTGGGGTAGACAGTTACCTGGACTGGCAGTCTCCTCGTTGGAGGGCTCACGCGTCGTCACTGTGGTCCTTCCACGTCCCCACGCTTAGGGAACCAGCTCTCCCACCTGTCGAAGCCCACAAGGTCGAACCAGAAGCCACCCCCTCACCTGGCCTCATCCTCTGCCTCTTGCTGCCTGCTCAGCCATCAGTCTTCAGCATTCTGCTTTAATCTCTGTGACCCCAGCTATACACACACTCACACACACCAGCAGCCTTTAGCACCTCAGCCTTCTGTGAGGTGCTGCAGGGACACGGGCGGGGTGGGGCTGTGGGCGGTGGAGGGCAGAGCCGGCCCCCCCAGATACCTGGCCCTTTGCTTTCTTGTGCCCGAGACCTGGAGCGTGCGTGTGCACTCACACACACGCACCCCAGCAGACAAGGAATGTGGGACAAAGGTAACACATTGCTGTGAACCCCTCCTGTCAACTGCCCTTGCTCCTCTCCAGCATCCTGGGGTCTCTGCCCAGAGGGGGTGATGAGCAGTGACCCTTCCTTTCTGCCCCTCACCTCACTCCCTGGCCTTCCTTCCCCTGTGGAGCTGCAAGGGACAAAAAGTGAAGGAAAATGACGAAACTTACCTGGAGGTGAACCTTGCCGAGCGACCACGTCCTTCAGTCTGGCCTCCAGGAGCGACCACGTCCCTCAGTCTGGCCTCCAGGAGCGACCACGTCCCTCAGTCTGGCCTCCAGGGGCTGGAGAGCGGTGAGGGGAGGATCGCTGGGATGAGAGTGTGCAGGGCCGCCCCGCCAGGTCCCGCCCCGAATTCCTAATCAAATATAGTGGAGAGGGGCTGAGGGCTGGAGGGAGCCCGGCCTTTTCTGCTCAGCTGAAGGGGCGGGGCTCACACTCAGCCTGCAAAACCCTCTGTGCCTGGCGCTGTAAACCCACCTTTTTTCCAGTCACCATCTTCCCTGAAACACTGGCAGCGCTGGCCGTCTTTCTGCTGAATGAGTTAGTGGGGCCCTAGAAGCTATTTGTACAGCCTCTTAGGAAGCGCCTGAATTTCTCATTAAACCCACAAGGGCAGATGCCAGGCTGGGAAGGGCCAGGGTTTGGGAAGAGGCATCTTAACCCTTCCAGAACCCCTGGATCCCCCAGTCACCCTTCCTTGCTCAAGCACCCCTTGGCAGGTAAGACTCCAGAAAGCTGGCTCTGGCTTGGGTGCCAGCCCTGGGCTCCAGCGTCTCTCCACCCCCTCTCCCCTCAAGTCCGTGGCAAAGAAGGAAATCTCACACTCACAGTGCCTGAGCTCTCGGTATCGCCTCCGGGGTAACACACCTTAGGGGAGGTGGTGAGGACTCTCTGAGGTAATATGTGGGGGCACTGGGCCTGCTTGAATGTGGGCAGGATGCCCGCTGCACCCATTTTACAGATGGGGAGACCCTGAGCAAGGGGGCAGAGGAGCGGGCAGGTTCTAGACTACAAAGGGAATAGATTTCATTCTTATTCGAAGTGTTTCAAATCAGCATGCTTGAACCAGGGCAAGCTTTGGAAGGATCTGATTCACCTTTCCAAAAGCACATGGGAGGGGCCCCTGTGAGGGGAAGGGGAGGCAGAGTGAAGCAGGAGGGGCCTGGCATTCGGTGGGAGGGGTGGTATGGGGGACTGGCACGTCTTGAAGAGGCAGCAGATGTAGGTAATTAAGAGTCCTAGGCTTGTGTCTGGCTGGTGGGCGACACTATTTCTGGGCATTGGCAAGATGAGGGGCGACAGAGTGGGGCAGAGACCCAGGTGGGTCAGAGATGCTTCTAGGCTCTCCAGTGTGTGTGCCAGGCAGACGGTGAGATGGCAGCCTGAGTCTGGCGTTCAGGGGCTAGAAGAAACCGTTTGGGTCTCAGAGAAGCTCAACAGCGTTGGTGAGCCCGTGTGTCCTAAACACCCCCATGCTGCCCAGTGCCAGCATCCAGAGACACCCTCTATTTATTTATGTTTAACTTTGGTGAGTCACACACGTAGGATGTACCATCAGAAGCATTCTTCAGTGTACAGTTCAGAAGCAAGTGTCTTCACATGGCGGTGCGACTCCAGAATTTTCCAGAGCTGTACTCCTGAAACAAAAACTTCCATTTCACTGTCCTTCCAGCCCCTGTGACCACCAGTGTCCTTTTCTTTCTGGTTTTGTGAATTTGCTGTCATTGCCGCCTTACATGGCGTCACCTGCACACATCTTTGTGGCTCGCTTGTCTCAGCACTGGGTGCTCAAGGTTCATCTACGTTGTAGCAGGGGCCAGAAGTTGAGCTGAGCATCTTGTTTATCCCTTCATATGTTGACAAACATTTGGGTGGCTCCTCCCTCCTAATTCCTGTGAATGATGCTGCTGTGGCCTTGGTCTTTTGACTCCGTCCTGAGACGCTGCTTTTCGTTATTTTGGCTCCATGTATACCTTCAGCAGCGGAATTGCTGGGTCACCTGGTGACTCTGTTTCACTCGTGTCCCAGAGTGGCTACACATTCGCACGAGGCTCATATTTGAAACAGTCAATTTTTTCCTAAAATGCCAATGGAGAAAGCCTCAGATTTGAATTAGGAGAATTTAGGGAGTCAAAGGTAGAGAGCACTTGGTCACCTCTAGGGCTGAGCCGGCAGGCTGCCAGAGAGGGCCTGTCAGGGATGGACTCTTCTCGAGACTGACAAAGAGGTTTTTGAAAGACTGAACTTGATGACTGGCCTTGGCTGAGCCCCGACTGGAAACTAGGCCCTTTCCTTATTTTAGTTAATGATCACAGTAAGTATTTTGTGTTAGAAATCGAGGTGCGGAGATGCAAAATGACTTGCTAGAAATTAGTAAAACGTGGATTTGAACCTTGATCGACATGACTCCAAGGCCCACAGGCTTTCCCACAGAAGGCTGAGCCGGCCAGGGGAGGGGCCGATCACCCTGTTTCGAAGGCTGGACTCCAGTCACGTGGCGCTCACTGACTGCTGTGATCAGCTGCTGGGATCTGGGCATGGGAAGTGTACAGAACAGGGAGGCTGGGGTAAAGGCTTCCCTTCCCCACCCCACACGCATTTCATTTCAGTTGAATAAATATGCATGTTTACTCTGTGCTTGGCTGGACCCACCTAGTGGGGAGATAAAGGAGTTCATATTATAATGTCTGCTCAAAATAATGCAGGTGCGTAAAAAGCAAACTCCAATCTCCTAAGTGAGGCTGAGTGGCCTTCACGTGAAGATGGCGATAAATACTGCACGGATAACTCTGTCGTCATGTCAGAGAGCAGTTGTGTTTCAATAAAGACCCTGATACTGGCAAGCAGGCGTCAGAGATACTTTCTAGAGGGTTCTCTGCAGTCTGGGTGAAGCAACCCACTGGGGACAGAAGTTAATTTGTTTTCAATTCCAGCATGTTGAATAGCACTGAACTTCTAACAGTGGAAGTCAGGGAGCTCTGGGGGCCAGACACAGGCTTGAAGACTTTCCAAGCCGCTCCTCCAATGAGGCGGTGACTCCATCGGTCTGTTGACCGTTTCTATAGCAGAAATTCTTGCACCAGATTCTTAGTTACCTGTCCTGCTTCAAGGTGAGCCTGGGGGGTCTGGCACCAGGTTAGGATGCAGAAGTCAGGGGACTCTGCTGTTTGAACGTTCCTTTGTCAATGGGTTCTGACTGCTGCTGTCTAGTCCTTGAATCAGGCCCTCAGCATTTGGCTTCAATATGGAAAACCAAGGAGGGCATCCTGAAGTGGTCCAGATTGCCGAATGAACCCACATGTGAGGAGGTTCGTCTGGGACGCTGTGCTTTGTGGGAAATGTCAGACCAACACTTTCCAGTCACTAGATGATAAATGAATCAAAGAGAGAGAAGAGAGAGGCTGTGTTTTCCTCTCTGTGACCCCACATGAGTGGGGTGCCTGGAACTTAGTCGGGACCCGTCAAGGCTGTGGAATGAATTGTAGTTTTGGCTTCCTGCACAGTCTGCTGTCTTCAGTACCCAGAACTGGGTGGTATAACCACCACCAACCCAGCCAGGAAAATCCTTAGCCCTTTAAGCCCATTAGACATTCCAAGGGTTCAGGCCACTGCTATTTCCTCCCCATCCAGAAAAGCACAGGGTGAGCCACAGCCACCAGGCAAAGCTGACTGCTCTGATGTTGGGCCTCCCCGTCTGGAAGAGACGGAATGCTCTCTGACTCCAATTCCCATCAGCAAGGATGTAGTGGTGCTCCTGTGTTCCAGAACACGTCTTCTTCACCACCCCTGCACCCCCCTCAGTCCCAGAAACCTCTGTTTTCAAGACACAGGAGCTGATCACAAACAGCCAGGGACCGGAAGGCAGACTGAACATCTACCCAAACAGGACTTCTGAGTTGGCTTTGAAGAGGCCAGCAGAAAGATGATCGTCATGATACAATCCAGACCCTGCTGCTGGCCCATCCTGAAAACTCTTGACGCCAGACAGGGAAATTTTACTGGTCTGGTGTTTTGATGGGAAGTCTTGGCTACACTGGTACCCAACAATGGTGTCCCAAAGTTTCCAAGGGAGATGTTTTTCTTTATATCCTTGCCACTGTGGGGTCATTAGGAATCCTCACCATAGGCAGCCTCCTCTGTCCAGAAGGATGACACCAAGATGCTGGGAACTGGGGGAGCCTCGTTTTCTTACAAACACAGCAGGAAGAAGATGACAAATTCCAGTTTCTGGGTGATGCATTGAAGTCTTTGGAGGTCCCTCCTAATGAGCTCCTTAAAAACCAGAGAATGGCTTTTCTCTCTAATGGGTAACATCTCTTATTTTGACCATGTATTTACTGCATGCCTGGCTTTGTTACATGATGATGGCATGATGGATTATAGAGCACCGCCTTCTAAAAGTATGTGTGTATTTGAGTTGGGGAAGGGGTGTTGTTTCAGGGCGAGGAACCAAACGAGGCAGGAGACAGAGGAGGGCTCTGACAGCTACAGCTTGGAGGGTTTGCCCAGACAGGGCTCAGCCCACTGCATTCAACTTTGTTCTGTAAACGAGTTAAGAGTAAATGGTGCCCTTGAGGCTTGATGCAGACAGACCAGCTCTGGGGATGCCATGGAGGTTACTGGGAGACCCTGGAGGTTATGG